ACTTCAGCCTTGATCTCTCTCTCTCTCTCTCTCTTTCGTGCACTTCCCCCAGCCACACACACACACACACACACACACACACACACACACACACACACACACACACACACACACACACACACACACACTAACACGCGTAGTAAACACAACACTGATCTAGGCAACCACTTCAGATTACCACTTTTGATTAGACATTGATCCAAAAGTAACCCACATGATAAGACAGAAGGTAGGGTACTGGGCAGGGCTGAGAAGATGCACAGCCAATCAACATGGCTGTGCATCATGGGATGGATCCACTCGTGCTGTCATTGGTCGACATCGGTGCTGGGAACCAATCATGTTACAGCCATGCACAAAACCTCTGAGTCATTCGGCATTTTTTTCTGAATACAGTACTTTGGGGAAAAAAACTGCGATGCACCAAGGCCGCGATAATCAAAGCGCAAAATAGCGAGGGATCACTGTACATCAAGATCCCGGAATCGTCCATCCACCCATCCATTTTCAAATCCATTTAACCTCACAAGGGTCACGGGCGTGCTGGAGCCTATCCCTGTCTTTCGGCAGTTGGCGAGGTGCTCCCTGAAATGGTTGCCAGACAATCGCAGAGGACAAATAGACAACCATCCATGCTCACTATCCCACATAGGGACAATTTAGAGTGTTCCGTTAACCTTCCATTCATGTTTCTAGAATGTGGGAGGAAACTGGAGTACCCGGAGAACAAAAAAACACCCAGACACGGGGAGTACATGCAAACTCAACACAGGAAGGCCGGATCTGGAATCAAATTCGTGAAGCGGACGTGCAAACCAGTCGTACACCGTGCCACCGGGTTCTGGAATCATCCAGTCACAACTTCAATTGTAGCCACAAAGCCTTTCTGATTGACTTGCAAAAGTACAAAATATATTTTATTTTTGTCTCTGCAGGATGTTTTTTGTTCAATAATAGCGTGTCTTTAATTAAGACAATGAACCATTCATGTCGGCGCAATCACATCAGAACACTGTATTTTCATGACCATACGATGCACCGTATTAAAGGGCTTAGTGTCAGTTACAGGTGCTATTTCTGATTTAACACATACACAAGATGCATTGTATTATTGACGCAGGCATGGTAAAATGTATGCTAGCTTAAAATAAATGGTAGCATGCATGCACGCTAGATTATGTTTTTAAAAAAAAGGCAAAATGAGTTTGGTTGTACTTTATTGCACCATTTAACAAGATACTCACGTTATTTTTTATCAATCCTCATCCTCAAATCCATCAAAGTCCTAATCATCTGTATCAGAAATGAACAACTGGGCAAGCTCACAATCAAACAGGACAGGTTCCCTTGCATCATTGTCAGAGTCAATTTGGCTCCTCAGGACTGACCTTTTGCGAAATCGCCAATAATAGTGCAATCAGACACGTTTGCCCACACATCTTCAATCCAGTCACAAAGTCGCCCGGCGCTGGGTCCCTGTCTTAGTAAAGCTGGGTACGCCATCGCTCCTATGCTGCTCGCAACTTCACTTTGGCTGTTTCTGTCCACTCCCATGGCAACCAAGCACAACACTAAAATCCAACTTCACGCGCCCCTTGTGTGTATTGCTACCGTGCTGGTGCCCTTCTTCTCGACAGTGTGGTTCACCGGAATGTCGGAAGTGAGAGGCACCTTGTGGATGTTCGTGATGTGGTTGGGCTGGATGTGTTTATCGGCAATCTTTTTGTTGAATTTCAATGTGGACAATGAAAGCCAAGTGAGGCCAGCAGAATGGCAGAATAAAGGATTAAAATCTCCAAGAAAGCATCTTTATATAATGTAATGCAGAAAAGTACGCTTTTTACTGCAGTAGGAGTGGAAGATAGCCAGCTTTTCCTTGTAATTCGCTGAATGTTGCTGCATCTTTGCCCGGATAGCACCAAGCACCATGGATAAGTTGATCTTGAATTCTCTTGCGGCTACTCGATTCCCATGGTCCTCTGTGTAATTGATAGCTTGCAGTTTCAACTGTGCTTTGTTAGCGTGTGTTTTTGTAGGTGCCATTTTCGGTATGTTGTTTTTCAGAATGCATGTATTATATACTATGTACACCAACTGGGAGCGTGTCTTTATCGCAGTGCTCCTCAATTATCCCATATTTTTTCTCCCCCCCCCCCCCCCCCCCCCAGCCCTCACCAAACAAGAAGAAAACAATTTGCGCCACCCCGCACTCTCTGCCACCACGATAATTATCATTTGTCTATAAAATTGTTAGAAGTACACTTCTGCATGACATTGTATTGTAAAAGAAAAAAGAAATATGGTTCAAATTACAGCAAAGAATAACTTTATTAACATTGTTTTTTAGTCTGTAACAGAAAAGAAATTTAACGCACCAATTTGCCTGAAATGAAAAACATACTTGTTTAATACTTTGTTTCAACATTTTTGCCCAACTTTTTTACCAAATTATTGCACCAATTCAATCATTGCACCATTCTGAAAACTAAAATTAAATAATTCATGAGTAATAATAAAGGCGGTTCGGAAAATGAATGAATGAATGAATGTATGAATAATAATAAATTAAAATTCAGTTCAGCAACATTGAGTCAGGAGCAGAATATATAAAACACTAGTCTACAAAATGAAAATGAGTAAAAGATTTTGTGCTTTTTTTTCCCCCCTCTTTTTTAAGCAAAATGAGGAAGTCAATGGCTACGATGAGCACGTTTTGTAGTGCAACTTTTCCAGCGATTTATCAGCGTGATTGAGGTGAAATGTCTTGATTTATTTGGCTTCATGCTGTCCACTGCCAGCATGTTTAGACACAGTTAACACACAGGTCTTTCTTCATTTCCCACTGTAGTCACAGTGAAGCCAAGCACTACATACACTTTGTCATATTTCCTTGTCTTAGCTTTTGGGTGACTTTCTTTTGTCTCATTGTCTTCATCTCTCTCCGCCTTTCTTTTCATCTTGTCTGTTTGAGGGTTTGTTTACTGCGCTTCATATCGCTTACTTGGGGGGAAAAAAAAACAAAACAGAGATAATACTCCCTGCAACGAGGGCGCTACTGCCATTTGCTGTCGTGAATGTGCAATTACACTTTATTCTATTCCAGGGGTGGCCAACCCGCGGCTCGTGAGCCGCATGCGGCTCTTTGGCTGGTTCAATGCGGCCCGGGCTTTCACATGACAAGCATCGAAAACGCCTCGGCGGTGGCGCTGCAATTCAAACAACGGCGCTAAATACACAGAACTAACTACGTCAGCCTATCATCAATCCCGTTACTTGATTGACATACAGGGCAACTGATCAGATGACAACCTAATCACCAGTCATGCGCAAACAACGGTGCTTAGCACTAATGATTGACAAACAGGGCAACCAATCAGATGACAACGGCATCACCGCTCATGCGCAAACAACGGTGCTCAGCGCTAAGCTCTAAGCTAATGAGCTTTAAAGGTAGGGATGCACAATACGTCAATCGCGATCGACCCGGAGCCAGCGGACTGGTCCCAAGTAGAGCGCGAGCGTTGGGAAGAGGAAATGGAGAGTGGGGGGGTATGTCTGTGTGTTTCGATTTTGTTCGTGTTCAGTGAAGTTCCAGCTCTCGCTCATCTGCGTGCCTGCGTGTGTGCGTGTATGTGTGTGTGTATATATGCTTGCAGTGCGCAATCGGGTCAATGACGGGAGGTTCGTCGCTTCAAAAGTCGATCTTCGGTCAAATATGTAGCAAGCTGACCCAAGTCGTAAGTAACTACTGCAGATCGTGTGTGCACACGCGTGCATGTGCGCGATGTGGCTCTTTGCAGTAACACAGTAAAAAAAAATTGGCTCTTAGTCTCTGACTGGTTGTCCACCCCTGTTCTATTCTCTTTGGCAAAAAACATGTTCCCCAGAGTCACACATGCAACCCCCCCAGCCCCCGGCATCGCATCGTGACCCCCCTAGGGGTGCACGTACCACTATTTGAGAAGGACCGCTATAGCGTCCTCTTTCACCCTTGTCAGTTTAATGTCCACATGCTGTCGTCAGTTGCGTCCGCCTTTCCTCAATATAACCAGCGTGTCTGCACAACATCAGTCAGTCAAGCAGACCCCGCATCGCAGTTACACAACAGCATTCACAATCTGGAACTCTGTGCATACACAAGGTGACCCGCATTATTAGGCGTTCTCCCCTATGAATTTTTGAGAAAATTTAAGACACTGAAGTGCGCCCTTTGGTCATGAAAATACGTTCTCCACACTTTTCGAAAACTCCGCCCATGCACACATGTACATGCCTATAGTGCTACGATCTTTTGAATGACATGAAAAATTTTGCTCTATGAGATCTAAACAGTCACAATGGATCCTAAGAAAAGGTAATCTGTTTCGAAGCACTAGGAAGCACTTGTGAGTGAAATGGATCTGTACTCTTCTTTTTGCATTGTCATCATTCGCACTGTGCATCACTTCAATGCAGGTAAGGTAGACTACAGAATCTTTGCTGTTTTTTTTTTTTTTGCTCTCAAAAATGAGAAATTGTTTACTTGTGACAACATGAGTGAGTCCATCTAAAAAAATGAATTCAAAAAAATAGCTAAACAAATTTGCAGAAAACTGGCGAACAGCACATTCTTTTATGACAAGGTGATATCCTGCTTTCAGATTATTTATTTATTGATTTATTTCGAGCATAAAATGACAAGTTTCTCTGAAGCGGTTTGTTGAACCAAAATCAAACACCTGAATCTGAATTTACTCATGTTATTATGGAAGTAGTTTCTTTATCAATTGAGGAGATGTAGTCCTCCATTTTCGCTCACTAAGTTAAATTTTTTGAGCAATAAATGGCCATAATGTTTATTTAGTACATGTCATTGTATTTTTTTCTCTTATTTCTACATCACTTTGATATTTATTTGTGTCTACTCACTGAAAAAAAAAAAGAGGTTGGTAGATAACATTTCCTATTGGGGCGGGGCTGCAACAGATAAATTGCATTTCCATTCACTTCAATGGTAAACATTAACTCGGTTTGTTTTTGGTTTCAAACCTCATCACGAAATGAATTAAGGTTCCACTGCATTGCATTGTAGTGCTATTGTACTGTATTGTATGCATTTTTATTCTGTTCTAGTCAGACAAAAAGAGGTGATGAACCTTTGATGCATTGGAGGATTATTATCACTTACGGCTTGGAGCAACAAATACAAGTCATTCTTCTCCAGGACCAGCATCACCTGACGCTCCTCGGCCTCGTTTCGCTTACACTCGGACCTGAAAAGGAGGAGATGGACAGAATTTGATGGAGTTGAATGAGTTGCAGCCGAAGGATGTCAGCACCTGTTAAAGGCCTCCTTTAGCTTGCTGAAGTCTTCATTGAGGGTGGCCAGTTCCTTTTCCACCTGAGCACTTCTGAGCAAGGGCATCAACTTGTAGAACAGCATCATCCACGGCCAAGTGCGCACAGTGAAAAATGAGCGCAAGTTGAACTGAATTGCCAGCACCGCGTCCCTGAAACAAGTCCATGTGAATAAATATGTAAAAATAAATTCTTTCCAAAATCTAATCCAGGATCATGGTTAGAGTTTCCCACCTGGGTTGAGCCAAAGAACATCCAAAACTTTACATTGCAAAAATTTAAAGGCACACCATCAAACCAAAAATGTCACAAAAATAGCCTTATCCTGAACCCCAAAATTCAGCAGATCTAAATTTTTAAGGGCCCATAGTTTGAAAAACATGAAAGAAAAACAAGAGTTGCAAGCAGCTACAGTATAAAGGGTCTTTGCATCCTGGGCCATTGGTGTATTGACATGTTTGGGTACTGAAACATAAATAAATAATAATGTTTAATCATATTTAGATGAGACACAAATTTTGAAGTCGACCGGCTCAAATCTCGAGCAGAAGTTTGTTGAAATAGGACATCTGTAAAAGGCCAAGAATAAGGAAAAACGTAAAAAGTAAATTAAAATTGGTGGACTGCCTGTTGGGTTTAGCATTCGGCTTCAAAAAGACTTTTTTTGTATGGCTTGGGCTGTTACATTTACCCGATTTTCAGAGATCAAGGTGAAACGTACAATTACTTTGTTAAAAATTGATGCCAGTGAGCCATTTACAAAAAATGCACAGGAACGCAAATGTGTTTGACAGGACCAATGACTGTGCAAAGTTTAATGAGTTGTTGCCCTGGGTTGGACCCTCAAAATCAGCATTGTTTTTCTTTTCAAACGATGCGTCACCACAGCAACAGCATGTGACAAAATAAAAGGATTTTCATCTGAAATATCTTTAGATGAAACAGGTCAGGTGATTGATTTGGCCAGTTGCACCTGAATCAATTAGAGAGGGATAGGGAAATCCTGTTGCTCAAGAGCCATATCCTGCTTGTTTTAGATCCCTCCCTACGCCAACATACCTGATTCAATTGTTCATGATGGTTTGATGCCTCGACAGAGCTTGCTGATGAGCTGATCGTTACATGTCCCCCCCGCCCCCCATGCCTGCGTGGGTTTTCTCCGGGTACTCCGGTTTCCTCCCACATTCCAAAAACATGCTTGGTAGGTGAATGGAACACTCTAAATTGTCCATAGGTGTGAGTGTGAGCGTGGATGGTTGTTTATCTATGTGTGCCCTGCGATTTGCTGGCTACCAGTTCAGGGTGTCCCCTGCCTATTGCCCAAAGACAGCTGGGAGAGGCTCCAGCACAGCCCGCAACCCTTGTGAGGATAAGTGGATCAGAAAATGGATGGATGGATGGATGGACTTGATTTGATTTTTGATTTGACTTTTGATTTGGTCTCCCGTAGCAGAAACTTGTCTCGGTGGACAGGCCCTCTGTGCTGCTACATGCATTTAACAAAACATACACTTACGCTACACAACATACATTGGAAAATACATACAGTACAGGACAATACATACTCTACACACAATGGATAGTACATTACACTCATTTGCACACCAGACACTGCCCTCATGTCCTCCTGCTTGTCTGTCTGCCTTCCTCTAATTGTTTGTTAATTAAGCTCATAGCCTGCAGTATAAATGAGTTTTTATATTGGTTTAATTTGCAGAGAAGGGTCCTGTACCTCCTTCCTTAGCGTAGGAGCTCAAATTGGGAGTGCAGCACATTAGAAGGATTCTCTAGAATGTTGTTGGCCTGTTGAATATTGGACTGCACATATATGTCCTGGGGAGCAGCGGCCGGGGGCTGCCTGATTTACCTTCCCTGCTGTCTTAACCAAGCTGGTTATCTGAGCTTTCGATTTTACAGTCAGGTTCCCAAACCAACTGGTTATTCGAAAAGCGCAGGACTGACTCAATGGTTGCTCTATAAAAGCTCAACAGAATGCTTCTGCCAACTCCAAATAATCTCAGACGTCGCAAGAAATGAAGGTGCTGATGGATCTTCGAACAGATATTTACATACATGTGTCTGCCAGTTAAGCCTGCTATCCATCGAAATCCCCAAGCATTTGTATGAGGAGACCTGCCTGATGTTCGTGCCATTTATGGAGAAGAGGCTATGGTCTCCAATTGATTTAAAGTCAAACTCCATTTCCTCAGTTTTTTCCACATTTATGCTGAGATGGTGTTCATTACACCAGTCAACAAATATGTCGATCCCGTCACAGTGGCTACTAATGCCAGAGTCACTCGTGAGCAGACTAAGGCTAGCTGTATCATCTGAAAATTTTACAACATACTTATTTGGTTGGGAGCTGACACAGTTATTTGTAAATAGGGTGAACAGAAAAGATAAGCTCACGCAACCCTAGGGGGCCCCGTGCTACTCATGACCTCATCTGAGAAGACAGAGTTAAATCTCACACGCTGTGGTCTTTTGGATAAGAAGGAGTGGTACCACCTAATGAAGAATGTATTGACATTCAACCGAAATAACTTCTTCAAAAAATGTCTGGACAGATTGAGTTAAAGACTGAGCTAAAGTCCACGAATAGCAGTCTGGCATATGCCACCCTATTCTCAAGATGCCTCAGAAGAAAGTGCAGAATAGTAGACACGGCATCACTTGTACTGCGATTATTAGTGTAGGCAAATTGATATTCATCTATCGAAGCTTCCACCTCCCTGCATAGTTTCTCTACTATGATCTTCTCTAACCCTTAAATCACATTGGAAGTTCAGGCCACTGGTCTATAATAGTTGTCATCCTGGGGACAGGGCTTTTTAGGGACCGAAATTATAATCGATTTTTTCCAGAGCTGCGGCACTTCTGTGTCTATAGACAGCTGGAAGAGAGGATGCTTGGCCGGTGTTAGTTCCTCAGCGAAGGATTTTAATAAATAAGCAGACATTGTCTGGTTCAGTGGCTTTCTTTACGCACAGTGATCTAAAAACCCGGGTAACACTAGCTGAGTCACTTAACACCCTGTTATTAAAATCATACTGCAGATTGCACAGCAATTCATTACACTCTTTGGAAGTGTTAACTTCAAAACGCATGTCGGAATAATTTTGCTCCCTTGTCCTCGCTTCCTCATCATGAGCCGAAAGGGGCTTCTTCCTAGTGCCCATGTTTGTCATGGTGCGAATTGAGTCCCACAACCTCTTTGTGTATGAATTAGACAGGGCTTGCTGTGCCTGCTCTTTGTGTTTAGACCGCGCTGCTCTTAGTTGCCGGTTGAGATCCTTCTTGGCCAACTTTAGCCCAACAGTGTCACCGAGCCAAAGGGCTCTTTTCTTCCTCCTTATGCCTCCTTATGGACATACATATTTTAATAAAACTCCAAACCAATGTGTGCTCTTTTTGCAATATTTTGCAAAAGAATCCACGGTTGCGATTACATGACTTGGATGTTTTGATTTAAGTGGATTGATTGATGATTGCTTTGTCAGCATGGAGACCTTTGTAGCATCAGCTTGTCTAGCTCCATCCTCATCAGCTTCCCTCGACTCATGGCCTGGACCGTGGTCAGGATTTGAGACAAGCGGGTGTCCCTCATATCCTCCAATTGACCCAGCAAACCTGCCTTGAAGAACACCTACAGGTGGAAAGATGAAGATGGCTCCAACTTGGAAAAAAAAATCCAACAAAATTGCTGTCATACTTTGGTTTTTCCAAACTTGTACTGCGTGTGGTCAATATCCAGCGAACTCAGAAGCTTCTCCACAGCCTTATGACTGTCCACAAAGACGGCCTCAGGAATCGCAGAGGGGTTCAGGATACGATAGCTGAGATTGGTTGTGTGATCATATTGTAAAGCTCATATCAGACAAACGAATCAATTGAGGTCACTCATGATGCTCACCGCTGTTTGAACTCAGCATACAAGATCCGGTTCGGGAAGCCCTTCCTGCAGATGCGGATACCCTCCAGGACACCGTTACACCTAAGCTGGTGCAAGACCAGGAAGGGGTCCATATTGCCTGAAGAACACCGAACAAGCAATGTGGATTTCACTGAATTCAAAAAAGTGTTACGCATATGAGTGGAGCGTTCGATAGAGCAGAGCACAACATTTTTTAAAACAGCCTACACAATGCAGTCGGCCTCTCAGGTGTTGTTTTTAACTGGATTACATCCGACTTCACTGGCAGAGAATTATGTGACCATGGGTGAAGATTCCACGTCAGGAGGCAGATTGTGTTGCTTCAAGAGATGAAGTTTACAGATGGATGTGCTCATGGAAGCACGGTTAAAATAACAGACTCACGATTACAATTTGGTTTGGCTTGAAATAATGACAGACTGAGGTTGATGGATGGGTGTCCAGGCCACTGATGAACGATGAACTGGCAATTTCCCACCTCTGGTTGTTCCCTAAGATAAAATTTTAGCTCCAACAAGTTTTTATGCATACATGTGGCCACTTAGTGGTGACATGGCAGACATTTTCACAATTCTCCTAATGTCGCCCATTTTACAATTCTGTTTCACCTAATGACAACACCCCATTTGATTCTCTTTTTAAATGTATTTTACAAATTAAGTCTTCGATGGCATTTCTTCAGCTCAATGAAGACAAACTGACATGTTTTTCATTGGACTAAAACACTCATTCCTTTGTTTATACCCTAGTTGCATCTTCAAACAGGACACCACACCGTTGCCAATTCTTTTAAAGTGTCAGTAGTGCGACCGAGTGCGCAGACTCAGTTGTTCTACTATCATTTGAAGCTCACACTGACACACATACACGACGCTGCAGGCAACATGCGGATCATTCGGCTCAGGAAGTCCAAGTTTACGGGGCCTTTAAATGAGCATCTTTTACAAGGTCCGCTGACTAGAAATGTTAGAATTTTATTAAATGACGTTATCCATTTTACATGAGTAGGGTGAACAATGTGGGATCATATTCATACTATTTTATTAAGATTTACTGAAAACTATACTGAAAATGACCTATGTACAACTTGTTGGCATGTCTGCCTCACAATGGCAGGTTATGGGTTCGATTTGGGCCCATGGCCGTCCTATGTGGAGTTTGCATGTTCTCCCCATGCCTGAGTGGGTTTTCTCTGGGTACTCTGGTGTCCTCCCACATTCCAAAAACATGCTTGGTATGTTAATTTGAAGACCATGTGACTGTGACATGGTAAATGTTCTGGAAAGCGCTTTGTTAAAACTGCAGCTGTTCTGAGAGCACTGTATAAATAAAGATGTACGTATGAATGTATGTATCTATCGTATGCTTCAAGATGGCGCCGCGAGAGTGGCTGCCTTTACAGCAGTGCCTATCCCTGTTTGAGTTTCTTTTCGTCCTTTTTTTTTTTTTGTTATTTGAATTGAATTGAATACAACTTTATTGTATTCAATTTTATTTAAATGTGCTGTATGTGTAACATACAGCACAGATGAAATTTCTTCCCTCTCAACACAAAACAAGAGGAGCCGCTGCGGGTGTCTGCGCAGCCAACAAAAGAAAAGTTAACAAATAATGACAAAATAATATAAGACAACACATGAGACACAAGATATTTCTTCTTCCTACTTTGTTTTGTGTGTTTTTGTACCCCAAATCTACGGGGAGGAGATGGCCATCTTCATTTCTACTCATCTCCATTATTTTCTTTCACTTTTTTACATTTACTGTGTCCTGGTACCCCCGCTCGCACAAGGACCCAATTGTTTACAGTAGGGACCAGCTGTTAGCTTGGTGGGCTGAGAGCGGGCTTCTGGCCGGCGACAAACCAAGCATTCCTCGTGAGCTGAAGAGGAGGAAACGGGGGTGTCGGGCCGGAAAGAAGCGCCGCGGAAGGAGGAGAATATAGAGACATGTTCTCCCGTCCGTCATCACGGGGAATGTAAGATCGTTCCCGAACAAGATGGATGAGATGGCGGCGCTGACCCGGCATCAGTGGGAGTAGCGCGAGGCTAGCCTGCTGCTATTAATGGAGTCATGGCTAACAGCAGTTACTCCGGACATACACGCCGAATTGGAAGACTTCCAACTTGTACGAGCGGACAGGACGGCAGGGAGTGGTAAGAGGAAAGAGGGGGACTGGCTGTGTTTGTGAACGATAGATGGTGTAACCCCGGGCACATCACTATCAGGGAGCAACTCTGCAGCCAGGACATTGAGCTGCTAGCCATTAGCCTCAGGCTGCACTACCTCTCGAGGGAATTTTCGCACGTTATAGCTGTGACTGTGTACGTTCCCTCGTCAGCCGAGGGCAATGCAGCGTGTGATGCCCTGATGTCTGTAGTGAACAGGCTGCAAACACAGAGCCCCAACAACCTGCTGATCATCTCTGGGGACTTAAACCATGTCTCTCTGTTGTCCTCCCTACCAACCTTGACTCAGTATGTATCCCGTGCCACAAGAGACAATAAAATTTTGGACTTGTTTTATGCCAACACCAAAGAGGCACATACAACCACCCCCTGCCCCCTCTTGGAAGAGCGTACCACAACATGGTGCATCTCCAGCCTGTGTACAAACCCCTTGTACACAGTCAGCCAGCTCTGAACTGCATGGTAGAAGATGGTCCAGGGAGGCTGAAGAGACTTTGCGAGACTGCTTCGAGAACCAGGTGGGAGCTCTTTAGTGATCTCCATGGAGAGGGCATTGATTCACTCACCGACACCATCACAGATTACATAAACTTTTGTGAGGAGAACACCGTAACCACCACGACTGTGCAGTGTTTTTCCAACAACAAACCGTGGATTACTCCCGACATAAAGGCCCTCCTGAAGGAAAAGAAGAGGGCTTTTGTGTCGAGAAACAGAGAGGAGCTGAAGGCCGTGCATATCCAACCGAGGAGAAGGATCACAGAGGAGACCAACCTACAAGGTGAAGATGGAGGACCAGCTACAGGCCAGTAAAGTCACTGGTGTCTGGAGAGGTCTGAAAACCATTTCAGGCCACAAAAGCCCAAAGACAGAGATGGTGAGGGAAAAGGACTGGGCAGATGAGCTAAAACGGTTTTTCAACCGGTTTGACCAGACGTCTCTCCCTCCCCCCAACCAGCATTCCCTGCAGCTGCCCTCACTACCACCCCTCACTATGCACCTCCCCTCACCCCCTCCTCTCAAGACGAGCTTCCAACACCAAACAACTGCCCCCTCAACCAACACCCCACCTCCAACCCCGAGTCTGTCTCCTGGTTCACGCCTGTCTGTCACGACAGCGCAGGTGAGGAATCAACTGAGGAAGATGAAGGTGAGGAAGGCAGCAGGTCCTGGACAACATCAGTTCCCAGCTCCCCAGGACCTGATCCACCTGTGTGACATTGTCCATCACGTTTAACCTGCGCCTGCAGCTGGGCAGAGTTCCACAGCTCCTCTTGACTGGTAAACGGGAGCACATAACTCCTACTCTGACATCCCTTCACTGGCTCCCTACACATTTTAGAGTTATTTTCAAGATCCTATGATTTGTTTTCAAATCTCTAAATGACCTCGCGCCACCTTACCTCTCTGAGCTCATCCGCTCCTACAAACCTGCCCGGCGCCTCAGGTCTGCGGACCAGACATTATTAGAAGTACCAAGAACTAAACTGAGGCTCAGAGGGGATCGAGCCTTTTCTGTTGCTGGTCCCTCTCTCTGGGATGACCTCCCGCTGAGCATTCGGCAGGCCTCCTCACTGCCCATCTTTAAAACCCGCCTCAAAACTCACTTGTATTCTTTGGCATTTGACTCAGCAGGACTCAGATTTGTTCTTGGTTTTGCTGTTCGGTGCTTTCTACCGTCTTTGTTACCAATTTGTTACGTTACTGTTGTATACGTTAGTTGCTCCATGTATTGCACTTTGTATGCAGCGATGGCTGTTTGAAAGTGCTCTGTAAATACAGTTGAGTTGAGTTGAGAGAGCTGTGGAAAACTTTGTGCCTGGTCCCAGTGCCTAAGACCCCCCCACCCGAAGGAGCTCAACAGTACAGACCTGACCTTTCACCTGATGAAGACGCTGGAGAGACTCGTCCTTGCCCACCTGCGACCACTGGTGAGCTCATCACTGCACCCGCTGCAGTGTGCCTCCCACTGAACATTTGGCAAGCCCCTTCGCTGCCCATCTTTAAAACCCGCCTCAAAACTGACTTGTATTCTTTGGCATTTGACTCAGCATGACTCAGATTTGATCTTACTTTTACTGTTTGGTGCTATCTACCATCTTTGTTACTGATTTATTGCTTTACTGTTGTATGTTAGTTGCTCCATGTACAGCACTTTGTATGCAGCGATGGCTGTATAAATACAGTTGAGTTGAGTTGAGTTGAGTTGCCTACCAGCCGGGCATCGGCATGGAGGACGCCATCATCTACCTCCTCCACTCGGCGCTGTTACACCTGGAGAAGGCTGGGATCACTGTGAGGATCATATTCTTTGATTTCCCCAGTGCCTTCAACACCATCCAGCCCAATCTACTGGGGGACAAACTGCAGCACGCCTGAGTGGACCACCACCTCATATCATGGATTACAGATTACCTCACAAACCGGCCACAGTACATAAGGGCACAGAGCTGTGAGTCAGACATGCTTCTCTGCAGCACCGGGGCGCTGCAGGAGACTGTCCTGGCTCCATTCTTGTTCGTTCTCTACACCTCAGACTTCAGCTACATCACTCCAATCTGCCACCTTCAGAAGTTCTCTGATGACTCCGCGATCATCGGCCTCATTACAGAAGGAGTTGATCGAGAGTACAGGAGACTGACGGAGGACTTCGTGCACTGGCACCTGCAGAATCACCGCCAGATCTACCCCATGAAAACTAAGGAGTTGTTTGTGGATTTCTGCACTGATGAACATCCAGGGTACGGACATAGAGACGGTGACCTCCTACAAGTACCTGGGTGTTCTTCCCAACAATAAACTAGACTGGTCTACCAACACGGACGCTCTGATCAGGAAAGGACAGAGCCGGCTCTTCCTACTCAGAAAACTGAGTCTTTTGGGGTTCAGGGGTGACTCCTTAAGACCTTCTATGACTTTGTCGTGGCTTCAGCCATTCATTATGGCATAGTCTGCTGGTCAGGCAGCATCTCAGCCCGGGACAGAGAGAGACTGGACCGACTGGTCAGGAGGACCAGCTCTGTCCTAGGCTGCACCCTCAACCCTCTGGAGGAAGTGGGCAACAGGAGGATGCTACCGAAGCTAACAGCTATGATGGACAGACCCTCCCACCCTCTACAGGCCAGCCTGACAGCACTGGGTACCTCCTTCAGCCAGAGACTGATACCCCCGCGCTGCAAGAAAGAGAGGTACCGCTGCTTGTTCCTGACGAGTGCTGTCAGGCTACTGAATAGATGCACCTGAAAACCTGAACTCAGTCCCACTCACCCATTTTAAATACCACAGCCACCTTATGCAGCATATATGCAGTTGCATACATGCTTATATCTTATATTTCATATTGCATTCTGTACTGTGTACAGTTCATTTTTTTATTTGTTTTGTCCATGCAAATACTTCGAAATGTTCTACTTTCTTCCCTCCAAAATCTTGCTACTGTAAATTGCGAATTTCTCCATTGTGAGACAAATTTTCTTAACTTATCTTTTGTAAACACAGCAAGAGAAACTCAGATCAAAATTACAACAACCCGGACAACGTTAAAAACTAGGGGGTTATGGTTGACTCGTTCCAAACTTTTATCCAACGCGTTCAATTTCATTGAATTCAATCAAAAAAAACTACTCGTACCCGGGGAGCAATTGAAGAATGGGGCTAACTGGATTTTACCACGGGAAAAACACTGCCACAGTTCACCCATTTCTCTTTTTGGCGATGCAATATTGCATTTCAAGGGTCTGGTGTCATTCATATTCACCAGTGCCACTCTTTACCATTGAGAGATGCTTCAGCGGATGTGAGGAATTATTTAAAAAATGATCCAGAAGTGACTGTCACGCTCACCTGGTCCTTATTTAATTTTGTTCCACATTTCCCACAATCATCATTTCATGGTACACGCACAGTGGATCATTACTGAGCCATGTAGAAATGACAAACCCACCACCATCCCCACCACCTCTCCACCCATAGTTATGGAGCAGTCTGGCAGACTACTTTAAAAAATGATTATGATACTAATTTGTTCTTTGAATTGATTTCAACATTAATTCAGATGTCATATTTCGGAATGAAATACGATGACCTCCACCACACATGACCGCGGAGCTCTGAATCTGTTCATGCCTTAATCAAATCCATCAAAATCACATTATAACCCTTGTGCCATAATTCAGACCTGCTTTTCGCTGGTATAAATGCTCATACACTTTCACCACGAAATTGTCAGATGTGCCAGGGGCGTACAATAAAAAAAAAAATGCCCTCAGTCCGCCGGAACATCCAGCGAGGTGCGACGCAGTCTCCCAAATTCCAAAAGATGGTAAACTAGACTTGCAAAGGCAGGAAAATTAAGATGTGCCACTTTTTAAGCAGAGCACCTTTGCACCTGTCTATGAAAATAGGGCCCTCTGGGTCATCAGTCCAGAGCAATGGTAAGTGTGGTGAAGAGGTGAAGAAACAGATACAAGTTTCATGGTTGTGTTTGCTTTTTATGTTTTCCTCCAGTGCCGCACCTGTCTTGCATTCTCATCATCTGACTTTAAAAGGGCTAGCTTGCTGTCTACTCGAAGTCGGATCATTCAGCCGTGCTCACCGCATCATTTGATGTGGCAAACCAAAGGAAATCAACTATGTTAACCTCCAAGAGGCTTGCCAGAATTTCAAATTATCATATGTAATAAATAAGAGAGATTTCCAAGCATTTTCTTGCTACCAAACACCTCATTACAATTACTTAAAGCAATAGATGAATAAACCGTGACTTCTTGACTTCTTTATCTAGTTTCAGTCATAATGGCCCTCCAAGGGAAATGGTAATAATCACAATGTGGCCCGCGACAAATAATGAATTTGACACCCCTGTTCTAGATGTTCATGACCATGCTTCACAGTTCACTCATTCTCATATTGTCTGTGCTCGAATAAGTACTATTTTTGTTCAAGTGTTTACCTCATTGTATCTTGTTCGTGTAATTGGAGTTCCTTGTCCTTTTGTGACAAGGGATTTTTTGTTATTATTTTTCTTGGCATGTTGAAGGAACTTTTTGTTCTCTCGTTTTATCCTGGTTCTTTGTTACCAGCGATTTTTGTTGAAATGTCGGTCTTGCATTTTTCCTTAATAAAATTTTGTGTAAACTCAACCTCGTCGACATTTGTAGAATCTGCTGGTTTTTTGTTTTTTTTGGAGCTATCCAGAAATCCTGCTTGGCTCTGGAGGGTGCTGCTGTGGACATAGCCCGGACCCTAGCAGCTGGAGGGGTCTTTAATTGAGGTTCAGATTCCTCCGTTGGCTTGGTGCAAGGCGATCCTTGTGTGGCTCTTTCTCCACAGCTCCTATTGCTGATGGATCACGATGATGGGATATCTTTACATCACTCTGTGCTCAGCCATGTCTTAGCGGCCATGTTATATATTTAATGAGCATTAAATTGTAACTACTATTTACACACAGTTGTTTGATGTCCGAGAGTCTCAGGGATTGCAGGTGGGTTGGAGGACGAGATGTGGTTTTGTGTTTTATCATTTGTTATGTGACTCATTTTGTGTTGCGTTTTAAGTAAAAAATGTGTTATATAAAAACAGTTTGACTTATTGAGAGTTGATTGATCACAAAACTAATTCAGAGAGAAAATGCGAGTGCTGTTAGCATTCACTAAATGTAGATGAGAGTCTGAAAAGGCTGCTGTTTCGGCAGAGCCTTTGCGTGTTGCTGGGTGATAGGGTGTTGGCTCACCAGGAGTCTTGCTCTCATTGGGGATGATGCAGCGGACAAAGTGCGGCCTTGTGCTCCGGAGGTTGGCCATGAGCTTGTGGAGGTTCTCCTGTTGGGAAAATTACACTTGAGGCACATTTAAGAAGTTGAGCATGGTGTCTCCACTGCATAAGCCACAGATTTGGATCAGCCAGTGCAGCCCCCGCCAGTGGAAAATAAAATCCATGCTGTCTTTATGGGACTTTCATGCATACTTGCGATTTTAGACTTAAGGTTCAACAATTAACCAACGAGCTCTTTCTCTAGTCGTCATTGTAACCAATTCCATACTTGGCTCTGGCCCAGCTGAAAAGTGGGCAGTGTTGAGACAGGACCACCCCCTCAAAACAGCCCAATTTAAGCCAGGGTAATAAAAAGACTGTAGTATACTGTAATTCTTGAGACTTGGCATAAAGCAGCAGGAGCACCTTGAGTTTATTGTGTGATCATGTGACTTGCTCATGCGATCATGTGAATCACTTGATAATTTGACTCACTGATGTATGCATGTGAAAGACTCATGCAATCGTGCTACTGATAGAGAGGAAGTGAGTCACTTATGCAATAATATTCATTCGTGTGATTGAAAGAGTCACTCATGCTGTCATGTTACTCGTTCACCTTATGAAGCTGTGCGACAGTCTGGAAGGAAGCTGCTTTCCTCTTCCTGTGCTTGATCTCGCTCTTAGGATCAAAGGCTGAAACCAGAGTCAAACCAGATCCCCACTATAAACACATGTACACACTGTGTAAAAAATTATTTCCTCACTCTGCATGTTAATTGTCATTTTATGTCAACAACTGCTACTGTACATCATCCAGTGCTACTCTCTTGCACCAAAACATGCGAAGGGGCCCATTGTTCACATAAGTGCTCCAGAGTACCCTCACGCCACCAGGGAATGCTCTCTCCTGTCTGATAAGCTTATGGAGGGAGTCAACAATCAGACCAGGAGTAAGTTCAATTTCATATTAGGAAGTCATAAAACGAATACAATGCATTGGAGTACATTCAACAAGTGAAGTTGACAAAGTTGACCTTCTCACGGAAGAGATTTCATCCCAAGGTCCTAAGCTTGATTTGTTTAAATCTTGCCCATGTTGGCACAATGTATAGGGCGATTTCAACTGCATTTTGTGAGGAACAAACCTAACCACAAGTGCTTTTATGTACTTGAACTGCAGGTGCTCACCTTTCAGTCAGGATGTTTGGGCATCTGCTTGACACATTTAGAGACTTCAGACCATAGAGTGTGGCTTTCAATGTGTAATATGTTGTAGCCAATGAAGCTCAGAAATAATTTAATGCTGCTCAATTATATGCATTTCACTATTAGTGGCCTAATGAATACACGTACCTGTAGTGTAGACTAAAGAACCATCAAGTTTGGCATGAAAAGGTAACAATGCAGAAGGTTGAGGCAGGGGGGACTGTAAATCATTGGAGGATATATTGCCAAAACTGGATTGACTGAATGATTGATTCATTGATGAAGTGGTGTGTCCCGATAATTGGTATCGCGTGCTTGATTTTTTTGGGGTCTGGCCCATACTACCTGTCATGGAGGTGACATAGTTCTCAAACAGTCCGGCCATCAGTTTGTTTGAGGACTTTTGGAACAAAACCACCACAGTCTCATTGAGAGGGTCTCTGTTCTTATCCAACCATCCTATAATGTTGTACGGAACCTGCACACAACATGTCAGCAATAGCATGATTAGCACAAGAGGCTTCCCATCCCTGGGCTGGATGTGGTGGAGGTGGAAACATACCACTCCGGCGTAGTGGACCACTTCAAAGTGTGCCTCGTATTTGCGCTTCTTGTCCATTCGTGGCCGCTGAAAGTTGGGTGATTTTCCCAGATGGTTGTCATACAGTTTGGTCTTGAAACTTAAGTCCGTGGCCTTGGGGAACATACACTCCTCCTCCATGATCGACACGATTCCCATGGGCTGCACAAACAGGAGACAGAAATAATTGTCAACATTCCTTCAGCTCTTATAGGTCAGCATAGCGGATATCTTCAAAAAGTCACCCTAATTCTAATAACTATTTCTTCTCAAAAGAAAAACTTTTAGTATGTACCACCTCGGGACAAGGTGTTGGGACACAACGTAGGATGAAAACCTTAGTACACAATGTAAGGACAAAACATTAGGACACAAAGAGAAAAGTACGATGTAAATACACAACATAATTACATGACATTAATTCACGATTTTTTTAATGAGTTGTTGCGACAAGGATGTTGAGATAAGATTTGGACAAGGTATTATAGGAGACCATGTTAAGAGAATTTTAGCACACAATGTTATGATGTGGTGTTAGGACATGACATTAGCACAGACATTAGGACACAAGGTGAGTTAGGAGATGATGTTGGGACAGGACTTTATGATGCCTTTAGGACACAACATTAGGACAAAAAGTAAAGACATTGGATTACAATACAACATGAAGACATGATACGAGTTATGGCACAACATAAAGGCAGGACCTGAGTGTGTTCTGTTGTCATACCCGTCAACTTGTACGTTTTCCCCGTATTGTATACGTTTTTTTTTTATCATTTCAAATCATGTACGGCGTATTACAACTTTTACACGGGAAAAAAAATAATTGTGAACCGATCTCACAAAGACCATTTTGGCTCAAATTCAGATCGTCTCACCTGCTGGTAGCCAACAACAATGCCGTCGTCGATCACTACTTTTGTCACGGCAAACCAGCAATTAAAGTAATCCTCAATCGTATATTTTTTTTCATCGCTGCGTACGGTAGGATTGATAAAGCATGATGTGCGCATGCAAGGTTTTTTTGTTGCTTTGTAAGGGGAATCGTAATCATTTATAAGTGCAGCTATTAGCCGAGGTTGACAGGTATGTGTTGTGTAAAGTGCTATACAAATAAAGATGTATGCACTGGACTTGAAATGGGATGCGCTGCCTTCGAGCCAAAGGGCAATCACACACTAATCTGCCTTGCCCTTGTGTTACTCAAATTGTGCAATATAAAATCAACAAGACAGTCTCGCGTGACTGCTGTGTAGCTCGAGCCAGTAAGAATCCAGCACACTATTCAGCAAATGAAGGATGAGCTGAACATCTGCTGGCAACCCTGAGCTTTTCAATTCATCATGCACGAGACTGCGACCAGCAAAGGAGTTTTTATTTTTATCTGGTGAGTATGTTTGCAGTCCTTGATTACAGCGGTCGGTTGCAATTTACCATGTACGTGCACCAAGTTTGAGGTTGCACAGCACAATATCACAGACCACAAGTTATACCAATTCACCAATTGTCTGATTGCCTTGCGGCTTTTTTCCTTTGAGATAAAAAAAAAAAAAAAAAAAAAAAAACTGCTTCCAGTACAATTGTTTGTCAGGATGCCTGTCATGCAAAAATACCAATGAAGTAAAAATAAAATAAAATAGTGTCTTGGCTGAAGGGCTGCAAAGATGGAAGCATCGAGGACCCCTTGGGTTTGGAGAGATAAAACCTTGAAAAAAAAACAATATTAAGGCAACAGATTCAAAATATAAACATGAGAGAAAAAAAAATAAAGAGGTTAAACGTATAGTTCTTCGTATTATTATAATAATTATTATTATTATTATTATTATTATTATTATTATTATTATTATCTATCCTCCATTTTCCAATCCGCTTATCCTCACAAGTGTTTTGGGTGTGGTGCGAGCCAATCGCAGGACGCACATAGACAAACAGCCATCCGCGCTCACAATCACACCCAGGTGCAATTTAGAGCGCTTCATTAATGTGGGAGGAAACCTGAGGACAGGGAGAAAACCCACACAGGCACGGGGAGAACATGCAAACTCCACACAAGAAAGCCAGAGAATCTAAACCCTGCACCTCTGCACTGTGAAGTTGACGTGTTGACCAGTCAACCAGGTCCACTCTTTATATTATTATTATTATTGCGATTATTATTATTATTATGATTATTATTATTATTACCACTACCACCATCATCATCTGTGATTGGCTGGCAACCAGTTTAAGGTCTACCCCATCTTCGACCCTAGTGAGGATACGTGGTTCGAATGATATCAATTCTACCAGAGAAAGAAGTGAAATGTAACGTTTATACAAAAATAGATATTTTTGAAGCCAAGACTGCATGACATCAGGACCAAAAAGAGACAAGTCTGGGGAACAGTCTTTGTAGGGGCAAAAAAAAGAGGATTTCTGTAATTTCAGTATTGTTGTCTTGATTGACAACTTTTCCCCAAGTTTTTAATGTTAACTCAATAAATGCACTTTATTACTTCACACTTTATTACTTCCTTGCTCTGTCTTTGTCATACTAAAATGCAGTTGACAGATTGAAGCAATATGTCATGTTCAATATTTTGGTCATGTCAAATGTTCAGGGCATTGTCAGATTTATTTCTGTTTTTAGCTGTGGAAAGGCCTCATCTCAATTCTGCAGCACTGAATTGTATTGAAAATACTGTCGACTAGTCTACATAAGATAGAGAGTGCCAAAATTAAATAATAATCAATAGAGTATTGAATTAATTAATTTAGTCAGGCATGCCTTTGGTTGCTGTATCTGTCTGCGTGTGTGTGTGCGTGGGTCTGTCTGTTTTATTGATACGGCTGTACAGATGCTGTCATCAATCATAAGAATAATTTCCCGACTTTACACAATGTTATACAGTGAGTTGGGGCCTGTGTGTGTGTGTGTGTGTGTGTGTGTGTGTGTGTGTGTGTGTGTGTGTGTGTGTGTGTGTGTAAGACAAAAAAGAAAAAAACAAAGGTTGTTGTTAACGGGAAGAGGCACCAATCTGAACTATAATTAACCTTCTATGTGTGCTGATGTTCTTATTTTTTAACTTTTTTAAATAAGGAAGCCACTAAAATAAAAGTTTTTATGGCTGCCACCCCACTTGGGGTCCAAACCCAGGTCAGTGGGACCCTCAAAGAGCTGACCGGTGAGCTCAATGTCCTGAGTGCAAATGAAGCCCAACACGCACGGTAAGCGATAAGCGAAAGCCGCAAAAAGCCCCATGTGTTGTTGCAAGTTGCAGTCATCCACAACACGAAGGCTCCGAAATTCAGGAGCAGCTGTGTGCTTCTCGATGTTCCTGTAGCTGGTGGCAGTTGTGGGACAACAAGAACAAAACAGCCGTGGTTGCTATTGTTGTCCACTGTTGTTTATGAAGTGAAGAAAGGGATTATTTTCCTTTTTTTAAACAATAAAGCAGGAGCCTCTTCTCAGTTACATGTGGCAGAAGTGACACACGAATGCATAAATGATCAAACTTGCAAGAGGCACACCATATCACAGTTCATTTGTGTAAATACTGCATAAAAATCATGGGAAATGTAGTCAGACCGAAAGAGTGTTTCTGGTGGTGCGTGTCCAGTGTTAAAAGTGTGGGACCACGAGGTATGATGAGCCAATGGAGTTACCCCTGGAACATTATTTTTCCTCAGCCACGGGTGCGTGCACATATGGACTGAAAGTGGTGTGACTTGCGTATTTTCATTTAATGACATGAAAAACACATTGCTGTTTATTTTTTTTTACTTTGCATTTTTAAAAAACAAGCCCTAACCCCACACAAAAAATGCCTGCATTTAGTGATTGATAGCTGTGTGCTGAAGCATAAAAAAGCAAGTACTGTAATCGCATTAAGTGGTTGGCTCACACAGTCAGACATTCCATAGAAATACTCAGTCATTGCAACAAACGGCAATGACTACTCCATAGGCATATTGCAGGGGCTACGTGGAAACATTTTATAATTTATTTGATTCATCAAATTCAGAACAGCCACATGTCAACTCAAGTTGCAGGAGCAGAGGATACAATTTTTTTCAGGTGTAATCAGTGATAATTTTACAGTTTAACCCCAGCGAGTCCTAGGGACTCGCTGATCAGAAAAGTATGAGTCCCATTATGTATTTAGAGATTCCCAAATTTGAATTCTGAAATGGTCTACTTATTCAATTGCATGATAATAACACAAACAACAACAATGTACATTGATAATAGGTTTATTTCTTAAAAACAAATGCTGCAAAAATTTAAATAAATCAGGCATACAAGATTTGCTGAGAAATAGGTTCTTATTTCATCACATGGTTCAGTCTTTGAGTTCATAAATTCTCCTCTCTTTACTCTGCTTCCAATGATGCAAGGCTTTCTCAGAGTCAACTTATCGCAAAAAAATATCCAACTTTAGATGCTTCCTCTGTGATATCTCCGCAATAAACTTTCGCAACACTTGTTTTAACGTTACACAACTTGGCAATTGTCTGCTTTCCGCGAGGTGAAGGCCGATCACGCCAATCTCGTCTTGCGAGAACGGAAATCTCGTCACGCGAGATTACTTCATGCGAGATCAAAACAACAATGGCGGCGATTGTCAAACTGCGATCGTTGCGGGGAAAAAAAGATGTACCGTATTCAGTGAAATCCTCAGGTCAGCGGCGCAGTTTTTTTTGTTTGTTTGACTGAGAAAATTTCTTTGCGTCCCAAAAACGCACATTATTTGGAACTGTGCGTCCCAGGGGAAAATTATGCGTCTAGGACGTGGGACGCAGAGGTAACGAGATGGCTGGTCTAACTACATTGCCGCAACACCGGGACTGAACACAACAGGTTGGGTGATGGTGAGTGCATTGACTAGTTTAGCACTCGTGAACTGTCAACCAAGATAGCATTTAGCAGTAGCCATAGCATGAACACAACCACAAGTCACCAAAGTGACAAGGGATTGAGTTTGTCATAAATAGTTACTGGTGTGAATTTAGTTTTTATTTGAACAGCTAAATTGTAGTGACCTGGTTTTTAATTTTTTTAAATTTGGTCAACCTATTCCAAAATAAAACTTTTTTTTTGTTTTTGTCTCCGCCCCAAGTAATTAGAGCATGATGGTCCTTTTGTCTTTTGATTGGCTAGGAATTATTTCAGAGTACTATATAATGAAAACTGGCATGCCATTTATCCAGTTGTTTCATTAAATTACCTTCAATAGCAATTCATAAACTTCCTCTGGAAGGGTAGTCTGAAGAAGTACGGCATAAGCAAGTCTCTTTTCCGTTTCCCTCTATTCAACAAGCGCACAATAAACTAATACTAATAAAATTGTCCCGTGGTGTGAGTGTGAGCGCGGATGGTTGTTCATCTCTGTGTTCCGGCTGGCAACCGGTTCAGGGTATCCCCTGCCTACTGCTCAAAGACCACTGGCATGGGCTCCAGCACCCCACGCAACTGTCACGTTGCGTACGAGGCAGAAAGAGAGAACTGCTTCGTACGCAACAGAGCGAACAAGAGTAGGTGGATCCCCGAAATAGCAGGCACTGACAAGGTCTTGTCTTAACAAATAATATTTATTACAAACGAAAAAACACCGTCTAAAGGAAAACACAAAACGCTGGTCAAAACGAGAACCAGGAAATAATGTAACGTGAGAAAAAGAAAGCGCTTGCAAAAAACGGCAAGGAAAAGATAAGACAATTTACTCGAAGAACTATGCGTTAAAGATAATCCCACTGGGATGACGAAATAGTAGCGAACAGCAATAGAGTACGAATACGAAATACGAGCATGGGCAATAGCAGTGGCACGGCAAGCAATACTCCGGCAATGAGTTGACAGCCGGAGCGCCTAGATATAGCAGGTGTAATACAGAACAAATGCGCAACAGGTGTGCAGGCGGCAGAATGAATGCCTGCCACCTGCTGTCAAATATGGAACATGACAGCAACCCTTGTGAGGATAAGGCGGATCGGAAAATGTATGGATGGATGATGTTAGGAGAAGAAATAAGGACAAGACGTTAGGACATCATGTTAGACATGACGTAAGGAGACTATGTGATTTAAGACAGAATACGAGGACATGGCGGATGGCCCGATGGACTAATGGTTAGCGCGTCGACCTCACAGTGCAGAGGTCGATCCCGGCTCCGGCCTTCCTGTGTGGAGTTTGGATGTTCTCCCCGTGTCTGCGTGGCTACTCCGGTTTCCTCCCACATTCCAAGAACATGCGTGGCAGGCTGATTGAACACTCAAAATCCGAGGTGGCAAACTACGGTCCGCGGGCCAGATACAGCCCCTTGGTCATTTTAATCTGGCCCGCCGAAGATTGGTACACAATTAAGGTTCAATGTGAATGATTGCATTCATTTCATTTGGATTTGTAATGACAGGCATTTCAACGCCAGGTGGCGCAGTAACTTGAAATTGCAGAGGGGGCGAGGGAGAGCAAGGGGGAGAGGAAGAGGGAGAGATCTTATCTCCCACCTACGGACCTCTGTCAAACGGAAATTCCCGATTCCGGTGAAAAACAAAAACAAAAAGGTATGCATTAAACTTTCTACTACTATACAGTATTACATCGAATCCTTAAAATGGAAGGTCCTATACCCAGAAGCTATACTTCAAGAGCCTTGCGTTTTGTTTTTTTTTTTTTGGTTGTTTTTTGTTTTGTCACATGGTGTTGTTGTTGCGTCATGTGGACCTGATGTGCACTGTTTTAAGCATTTTTGGCCATGACATTCGTCAAAGAAGAAGAATCTGTGCTTGGTGGGTGCGTCTTCTCGGTGGCACACGTGTACCAGCACTGATTTTGATTGTGAGGAATGTTGGCGCCATTTGACTGTTGTTGCTGGACAACCCCGGGGCACTTGTGTCTTGCGCCTGAAATAGGCAGCATTTTCACAGCCCCTCTTTGTTCAGCGGAAAGGTCGGTGCTGATGGACAGTCTGCGGCTGGATGGATGCCTGGCTTGAGGAGCCAACGATGAGAAGAAAGGAGGGTCAGCGCAGAGCGCCGATTCGTATGTGGAACTGGGAGTCGCGGATTGGAATTGAAGCCGATTTACATGGGAGAGAAGAGAGCCAATCTCTTTTTAGTTAATGGATGCTACAGCTTCTTCTTGCTTTCAAGCCGAGCTTGTAGCAGACGTGCACATTTCAGCATGATGTCTTTCATCCACTGGTGAAAAGGACACTTTGATTCGCTCCTCTTTCATCAATAACTGCTTCAGACAACAAAGTGTATGCAGGAAAGTGGTTAAGATTGCATGATTGTCTCTGTCTAATGTGTTGTCTTGTATTATTTTGTCATTTTATGTTAACTTTTCTTTTGATGGCGGCGCAGGCACCCGCAGCGGCTCCTCTTGTTGTATGGAAGAAATTTCATCTGTGCATACAGCACATTTGACAATGAAGTTGTACTTGATACGGGAGCCCGCAGTAGCGTCAACTCAAGCAAGTCCCTCTTGATACAATGGAATTACTGTGTTCCGGCTGCTATTTTCATCATTGGAGCAAAAACGGCGACATGCAAGTGATTCTTTATTGCAGTGAAATTTACTGGAATTGCGAAAGATTTTCATTTCATTCATTAACACTTAGGTCATGTAGATCATGGCATCCAAACAAAGAGGAACAGTAATGACGGTGGAAAAGAAAGATTAGGCGAAGCGGGTTACAAATTTCGAAACATTCAGGAGACTCTTGGAGTGGGAAAGACTCAAATCTATGAGACTTTGAAAAACAAGGGAGCGAGTCCGATTCTGGCAATTTCCATGCTCAGAGTGAATTGCTTGCGGCTCGACAGACAGTCAAGAAAAATGAACGTTTCCTGGAATGGTTTGACTGTTATCGTGCTAAAAACATTCCGCAAACTGGACCGCTAAAAGACAGACGGCAAGCTCTACAGTGCTTATTATGGGCATCGAGGACTTTGAAGTGTCCCGTGGCTGGCTTCAATAGTCCGTTGCACGCTATCAGCTGAGCAACGCTGTCTTGTGTGGTGAGGTAAGGTAAAGTTAGAGACCGTGCGTGAGTGGAAATAAAAGATACCAGGTCTGTTAGTAGTCTCATTTTGGAGCAAATAGTCCAAATTTTGTTAGATTTTGTTCATATACCTGTACTGTATGCTCCAATTTTTGTGTTATAAACAGTTTTTGGGCAATGTATTGTTCCAATGTGTTGCTTGTGTTGTCATACATGTATGTTGTTAACATACTTGGAAATTTATACAGGACATATACCGTAGTTATTTCCCACATAAAGAAATTCTGTTGCAAGGAAAGATTGGAAACCACAAATTTGACTCCTTTATAGAAAATACTTACTGAAACGCTCTACTTCTAGTGGTCAGATGACAACACATCTGCAGCAATGCACTGGCAAAAATGGGTGATCAACGCCACTGCTTTCATTTAATGCTTTTGTTCTGTTGATGTTTGATATGAACTGTCAACAAATGCAATTTTTTTATAGGTACCGTATCTTGTGCTGACCCGGCCCATCTGTCAAATTTTAAAAGTCAATGTGGCCCCCGAGCCAAAAAGTTTGCCCACCCCTGCTCTAAATCTTCCCTAGATGTGAGTATGAGCGCGGATGGTTGTTCGTCTCTGTGTGCCCTGCAATTGGCTGGTAACCGGTTCAGGGTGTCCCCCGCCTACTGCCCGGAGACAGCAGGGATCGATTGGGATAGGTTCCAGCAAGCCCCACGACCCTTGTGAGGATAAAGCGGATCAGAAAATGGATGGATGGATTGATGGATATAATGGCATGCATTAGTACACAGTAGATGGTTCAAGAAGTCCTGACAGAAGCAAGAGCCGGTCACGGTAAAATACCTTCTCAATGAGGTCGATGCAGGCCTGCAGGTCAAGACCAAAGTCGATGAACGTCCACTCGATGCCCTCTATTTTGTATTCCTCCTGCTCTAGGATGAACATGTGGTGGTTGAAGTACTGCTGTAGCTTCTCATTGGTGAAGTTAATGCAGAGCTGCTCAAAACTGTTCAACTACAGAAGAAGCAAAAAAAGTAGTGAGTGAGGTGACCACGAGAGGTGGAACTTTTTATGGGATTCCCACAGGTCTTATTGGTCCCATTGGATTCCCACGGGATGGAAGTACATTTAATGGTTAATCATGTGATTCGGCAGGAACGGAAGCAAAAGTTGACAGGAGCAGACAAAAAAAACAGTAAATGGGAGTAGATCGATGCGGGAAAAAAAATGCAGTTTTATTCAAACTAAAATCAAATTGATATTGATGATGCTGAACATTTTCCCTCAGGCATTGTGTTAAATTTTGTACAGATATCGTCAACATCTTGTTATGGTTGATGTTTCATAGGGGAAGATAATGTTTTCCCCTTTGTCTGTAACACTGTAATTGTGCAGGTTTAAAAATCTGATTTTTATATAAACTGCTAACATGTCATGCATTGATTCATTTCAGAATATTAAAGAAAGATTTTTTTTAAATACTCTAAAAGGATGGGATTGTTGTCCATATTTTATAAAAACTGGTTAAATCACCCGAGCGGCAAAAGAATCACGTTCGCTGATTAATCAAACAGCACATAATGAATGAGAACTGAAGGGGGATAACAAAAATAATTATGGCTCAGGATTGGGATCAATCATCTGTGGGAGTTGGAGTTTGCTGGATTCTTTTTTTTTTTTTAACATTTGGGATCGGACCGGTTGGGATTATTATTAAGGGTGTGTGACCACCTCCAGCAGCACAAAAAACACAATCTACAGCAAAGATGTGTCAAATGCAGTGAGGCCGGTCTCGTGTTGCTTTGTAACATACTTATTTGTACTTTGTTCTGCGTGAACCATAATGGCAGTCATTTTGAGTAACTAGTCATCTAAAACGTTACTATTTCAAAGATAGTAGTCTAATTTTAGTTCTTCACAAAGCTACCAAAATACAAATTCATCTTCAATGATGATAACTGCAATATAATTATGTTCAGATCTCAGTTGGGACCTTCATCAGATAAATGGCCACGATAAAATTTTGGACTGGATGTGGATTTTTTTTCAGCATTTTTTGGCCACAACATTCATCAAGGAGGAGACAAGGTGCTTGGTGGTTGCCCCTTTTCGGCAGCATGGCTATACCAGCACTGTTTTTGATTGGGAGGAGTGTCGGTGCCATTTGACTGTCATTGCTGGCCAGTTCTGGGGTGCTTGTGTTTTTTTGTGCCTGTAATGGGCAGCATTTTACACAGCCCCGCTTTGTTCAGCGGAGAGATCGGTACAGTTGGACAGTCTGCGGGTGGATGGATGCAAGGCTTGAGGAGCTGACGATGAGAAGAAAGGAGCGTCAGTGCAGAGAGCCGATGCGTATGTGGAATTGGGAGTCGCGGCTTGGAGTTGAAGCCGACTACATGGGGCAGAAGATGTGAGCCAATCTCTTTTCGTCAATGGACGCTACAGCTTCGTGTTTGCTTTCAAAACTTAGCTTGTAGCAGACGTGTGCACATTTTCAGCATTAAGTCTCTGATCCACTGTGAAAGGACACTTTGATCCTCTCGTCTTTCATCTATAACTGCTTCAAACAACAAAGTTTATGCAGGAAAAGTGATTACGTTTGCACGACTGTCTGTGTCTTACGTGTTGTGTTGCATTATTTTATTTTGACTTCCAGATGGCGCCGCGAGAGTGGCTGCCTTTCCAGCAGCTTCTATATTTTGTTCTTCTACTTCTTCCTTTTATAACTTTGCTGCTGTGAATTGGGAATTTCTCCAATCAAGGTTTTCTTATCTTATTTCAATAAAATGACTTGGTCACTTTTTCAAGGTAACTGTGCCAACACTGGTTACATGTGATATGTACCTCAAAGATCTCGAAGCCAGCAATGTCCAGCACGCCGATGAAGTACTGTCGAGGCAGTGCTGTGTACAAGGACACATTGATGCGTGTCACCAGCCATTTGAACATGCGGTCGTATGTGGCCTTGGCCAGAGCCGCCGCTGCAAAGTACACCTGCACACAGCCATCAGTTTCCATGATGTACACGGGACACTTTTGTAAGCACTAACAGCAAGTGAAGGAAGTTACCTGCTCCACTGTCTGTCCTTTCATGATGAACTCATTGCCTACTTTGACTCGAGGATTTAGGAGGCCCTTAAGCAAGTCAGCGGAATTGATGCCCATCAAGTAGGCCGCCTTGTCCACACCTGCATGGGTTAGCAACGTGCTAGATTGCATTGAATCTCATGAAAACAATAAGTTACTGTAGTCGGAAATGTCAAAGAACTATAGATTGTCAGTGTCAAACTCAAGGCTCACCGTAACTGGACCCACTTTTATGGGGCCCATGAAAGATTGCCTAAATGTCCCCTCTATTTTTGTCCAATACTACTAATCCAGCCTAAAAATGGTGATGTGATCAAATGGCAATTATTAGGGTTCCCAGAACACACTACTCACCAAGCGTTTGTGATATTTGGCTTTCGGGTGAATTTTAAAATTTAGCTCATTGTCAGAAAAGTGAAAGTTGTGCAAAAGTACTATTTATAAAAAACAAACAAACAGACAAAAATTCACGGACTTCAAATTAAGGTCAGTGGTAAAGGTTATAGTACTGTAATTCTCTAGTGTTTTGGGTATTGTAACACCAGAGAACTTTATGACGAGACCTGTTAACTACTAAAATGCAAAAAAAAAAAAAATTGCATAAAATGTCTCCTTTGAAGGGATGAATTAAAAATAATGTAGTTTGTGAGTTGAGGTGAAAGATAGATCTCATACTTTCAGTGCCGTCAGCTTCAGCCTGCTCTTCTCGTTGCTTCTTCTTGAACTTCATGTTGCCAAAGTGCATGATGGCACCAACAAGCTTGTAACAGCCGTACTTCTCTTCCGGCGTGAAACCCAGTGTGTCCATGGCGTGCTGCAGGTAGTCACAACATCGTCATTATCATCATTACATCACGGAAAGTCTTTCAATACATATTTGTGATGTCTTTGTTTAGCGTAGTTGCTTGTTACTGATAATACTGTACTAGTGTAGCCTGTACTACCGGAGACAAATTCCTTGTGTGTTCTACATAGTTGGCCAATAAAGATGATTCTGATTCTGATCATCGTCATCAGCAGCATCATCACCGTTACTTTTCACAGAGAACTGCGTTAGGATACAAAAGTTTCTCTTTACATCGGTGAGTTCCAGTTCTTCGCCATCCTTGATGCCAGCCACAGTGGTGACGCCTTGCGAGCAAAAGTGGTAGTCGTATGGGTTCTTGGTCACCAGCAGCATGTCTGGAACAAGAGCACATATATATCTGCCATCAAATATTAAAAGCCTGTGGTCGCTGAGAACACATTGTAATACATTACCAGAAATCATTCTACACCCTAACAGATTGTAATCCTACAGTCATTGAGAAACAATTTATGCCAACCGTCTTATTATTTTCATTTCCTGAACCGCCTGGCTCCGAACATGTATTTGCACTGATCCGCATTATCAACTTGATGGCAGTAATTCAGCCAGCAGAGGGTTTTCTAGTGACTCTACAAGATTGTCATTGTTCAGAAATGAGAGACGCCTGATTTTGAAGAACAACTTTGTCAAATTTTAAGATAAGAAAACATTGATTTGTCTCACAATGGAGAAATTCGCAATTTACAGCAGGAACATTTTGAAAGGAAGAAAGTAGAAAAACAAAAAGTATTTGCTTGCTCAAAATATATTAAAAAATAAACTGTACACAGTACAGAATGAAATATAAAATATCAGATACAAGAATATATGCATCTGCAAAGGTTGCTGTGCTATGGGTGAGTGGGGGTGAGTCCAGGTTTCCAGGTGCGTCTATTCAATAACCTGACAGTAGTCGCCGATTTAAAGTTATCGAGGTGAATGGAAGAAAAGAAGACACATTTTACTGAAACAAAATTAAACAGGTAGAGATATACACTGAAATTACTCGACATTGTTTAATACATATTTCAGTAAAACCGTGTAAAAAGTCGGAGTTTCAAATGCAAAACAGCAAGTCAATGTCATTTATTTTATTAAATTTATTGCATTAAACATACAGCCAGCGAGAGCGAGCGAAGGCCAGCGAGAGCAAGCGAAGGCCAGCGAGAGCGAGCGACAGCCAACGAGAGCGAGCGACAGCCAGCGACAGCCAACGACAGCCAGCAAGAGCGAACCCTTTCTACGATTAATTGACAAGATGGACTAGCGACAGCCAGCGAGAGCGAGCGACAGCCAGCGACAGCCAACAAGAGCGAGCGACAGCCAACGAGAGCGAGCGACAGCGACGTTCGTTTGGGGCTCCAGTGATCGGTGAACCCGGCGGCGGCGACAGCGGCCAGTGAGAGCGAGCGACAGCGACATTCGTTTGGGGCCCCAGCGATCGGTGAGCCCGGCGGCGGCGGCGGCGGCGAAGGCGACGGCAGTGGCTGAACTCACTCGACCACCGAGGCAGCGTGAGCTAGCGATAGCCAGCCGGCGTGAGCGAGCGAGAGGGATCTTCGGAGCTCCAGCGGCGGTCAACCCTTGGGTCGGCACTAGCAGCTGGAGCCACCACTTGAGACCAGCCAACCGAACAGTGAACCCGGCAGCAGCGGCCGAAAAAACTTCATTCGAACACCGCGGCTGTGTTGCCCGGGGAGGCCACTGGCCCACTGCCACGTCAACAACATCAGTGTTGGCAGAAAGACAACAGCACACGTCAACAACTAGCTGACAGCCGGCTAGCAACGAATTCCGAAGGATGCCGCCTAAACGGGGACAGGATGCAAAGCAGGACGAAGAATTGATGACTCACGCAAGTCAATGAACTACTCCTGCAACAAAAAGAACTTTTCACAGCGCTCACGCAGCAACAACAGGATCACTTCAAGGATTTGTAAAGATGATACTCGACTCAACAAACTCACGACTCGACAGTTTTTCCAGAGAAGTACAAGAACTTAAAACCAGTATCAATTTCACCCAAAAAGAGGTCGATGACATTAAAAAACAGCAAATGAATCAAACTGACCACTGTAAAACCATGTAAACTGAAATATACAAAGTATGTGACAGTTTGCTTGTATTAACTGACAAAATGGACTACTTAGAGGGACAATCAAAAAGAAACAACTTGATAATCGATGGAATTGAGGAACTACAAGGAGAAACTTGGACCGAAACGGAGCAAAAAGTGCAAAAAATCTTCAAGGAGCAACTGCAGCTAAAGGAGACAATCGAGGTGGAAAGAGCCCACCGCATGGGGAGGTACGAATCGGGAAGACCTCGACCAAGGCCAGTAGTAGTGACATTTGAAAAATGTAAGGACAAAACAATGATTCTACAGAGAGCAAAATATTTAAAAGGTACCAAAATCTACATTAACGCAGACTATACAGATGTTTCCAAAACTAAAAGCTGCACGTGAAAGAGGGGAAATTGCTCCTGAAAACTGTGGAAAATGAATTAAACATATTAAAAAACTGGTTTGACAGAAATAAACTATCACTAAATTTGACAAAATCTAAGTTTGTTGTTTTTGGCACGAGACCAATCAAACACCAAGTTTAAATAAAGATAAACTCAATTGAAATAGAACGAGTTTATGAAAATACGTTTCTTGGACTAGGAATAGATACTAAACTATCCTGGAAGCCACACATAGATAACGTTAAAAGAAAGATATCCAAAACTATAGGGATTCTCCACAAAACTAAGGATGTGTTGAATAAGAGTTCTTTGTACACATTATATTACTCATTATATATATATATGACCTACTGTGTGGAAATATGGGGGAACGCCTGTAAAACAGACACACTCCCTGTCTTAAAACTACAAAAAAAAAAGCAATCAGAATAATCAATAGGTCGAAATATACAGAACCCACCAATCCACTATTCATCAAATCAAACACAATGAAATTCTATGACCTGGTTGACTTTAAAATCGCCCAATTAATGTATAAAGCACATAATAATCTCCTTTGCCAAAATATCCAGAAGCTTTTTGAAATTAGAGATAGTTGTTATAATTTAAGGGGTACCAACCAATACAAAAAATCCAAAACAAGAACAAACATCAAGCAAAGGTTAGTAATTCAACAGAATTATATTGATCAATTTAGTAAATATATTAAAGAAATGCAGTATTTATGATGAATATGAGAAAATTGATATATAAAGGAGAAAGAAAGAGTATATATATATATATAATATATATATATATACACACACACACAAACCGAAAGGTGTATAAATAGATAAGTACAGTACACATAAGGGTAAAAGTATTTGATGATATGTAGATTTTTTCTTCTTTTTATTGAAAAAAGATCAATTCATATACTGCTACATAACAAGGGGTAGGACTAGATAAGTTATTTACTTCTTCCTACTCCTTTGAACATAAAACTGTAATGATGTCTGTCATTATTTTTCTTTTCTTTCCTTTTAAAATTTTTACTTGCCTTCACTTTTGTCAATCTGTTATTGTATTGTATGTTCTATATGTTCAATAAACAATAAACAATGAACAAACACTCATCTAATGAAGTCTTGAATTTTTGGAAACTAAATTAATGACGTTTAAATTATGAAATTTGGTGTTAGGCTTCGCTAGAGATGAGCACAGGACCCACAGGCAGACACAATGAAGTCAGAACGGGTGTTATGAACAGGAAGTGGGACAGGGCGAGGTGGCACGACTGAAGGGGAGTCAGAATGACCAATCAAGGATTATAAGAATGCTGGAGCGTAACAGATCAGTACAAGCGATGTCAAGGTAACGCGCCTCGTCAGGCAGGAGATTAAGAACAAAATTGAGAAAATGGAATTGGATGGTTTAAGTCCTGCGAACTTTGGACATGCCTGGTTTAAGTCCTGAGACAAATTCCTAATTCGACCACTAGAGGGGAACGGAGGGATCCTAACGCAACAAGAAGCCAGCTCCACAAATCCTGAACCATGGGTGAACTAAAATAAATAGTAATATCGGTTACAAGTACATGCCAGAGTCAATGCCTTATGAAAAGCCTTATGAAATAATTACGGAAATTGTCAGCTGATAAGAAATCGACTAAGTTTAAAGAATGTTTAAGAAAATGAAGCGCTCCTTTTCTTCTTGTTTTCCTTTTTATTTAGCCAGTCATTATAAGATGACATTATAAAGGAACAAAGATATTAATCAAATGCTTATGCAATGCTTTTGAAACTGCTTTGAGTGAAGAGTATTACCTTATGACTGATTACTTTCTCTCCAAGTAATGTCATATGATGTGTAACAAAAATTATGGGTTGAGAACCTAAGCGCCTACGAGAGAGATGGGCAAGCAACATGTCTATGTATATACATGATAACCCCGCTGCAAAATGCTACATGAAAAGACTGTCTATCATTGGGAGGCTGAAACAGCATACAGACGCTGCCCCCGGTCGACTCAAGTGAACATCGACTGAGATCTCAGAGCCTGCTCTGATTCAGCCCCGCCTGGAAAGGGAGTTCCCTTCAGTTGGTTCCCACCAGAAATTCCCACCAGAAATTCTCACCAGAAATTCTCACCAGAGAAAATTCAGTTCCCACCAGGAAAGATTGCGTAACCTGACCTGATACGACCTTGCCTGGGAAACTGTAGGCGAAGATTGCTCCCGCCTCCCTGCTTGGATTACGTGATGGGGAGGAGAACAACCTGAGACGTTCCGGACTGGAGCTATAAAAAGGGAGGGAGTGCGGAAACGAGAGGTCAGAAGGGTGCGGTCAGCGTGCTCCGGAGAGCTCCGCGACCGGGAGGAAGATCACCCTTCCCTCTTAGACTTAGAGGAGCGCGACGGACGGGAATGGGAGAACGGATGAATTGAGGATCTGAGAACCGGCGGGTGAGCCAAGCCCAACGGTACCTGCACAGATCTCAATCTCCGGAGAAAGGGCCAGAGGAACGTGGGAAATATTTGAGTGTCTGAGAGTCGGCGGGCGAGATGTGTCCAACGGCGCAGACCTCAAGCTCCGAGGGGGAAGAAATTCCCCTGATTGAGGAGTTTTTCCTTCGCGTGGTTCTTTTTTATCCCTTACAATTCCCCGAAGTTGTGCTCCTCCAAAAAGTTATCCCCTGAATTTCTCCTTTTAATTATTTTTCAACCCTACAATTGGATATACCACAAAGACCCCAGAATTGGATTTATACAAGAGGATTTTTATTCCAGGCCTTGTTGTTCGAGCGCAAGGGGGAGACCCATTGGGTGGAATTATGTGAAAATTGCCTAACGGGAGCGGCCACGGCTGAGGCCGTTCCGGAAGGGTG